GTATAGGGGTTTAGGGGTTGAGAGGTTTAGGATTGATGCCAGGCAAGCTGCCACAGACTGCTTGGCAGGCCCCAGGCTGGAACGTAGCCCAAACTTCAAACCCAGGAAACTCCAAGCCACAAACCCTGCAAGGCCCGTAATCTATCCTGGACTTTGAAGTAACCAGGGAGAAAAACTTATAGACTTTTATTTCATAATGCGTCCTTTAGGAACAGGTACCAAAAAAGTATTCAAGTATTGTACTCCAAACCCAGGTGTCTGTATACGAAAGGCGCAGACCTAGAATGTAATATAAACTACAGAAAGATAACATGGTATGATAGAATATCAGATGATGCAATCTGGTAAAAGAGCACATAAGCTAATGATGATACCAAGTCTACCGAAAGATGTGAAACACAATCTAGAAAAGCTGGTAAGTATTCTGCAGAATATACACTTACTCCCCCAATAGCGAAAGGTTAAACTTTCCGATTCCGACTAGAATATAAGAACCCAACAAGTTTATAGGTTGGGTTTGGGGGATCTGAGCACAATCTGCAGGATGAGATATACCGCAGCCCGAAGCTCACAGCTTCGGGGGCTCCATGAGTCGGTTTAGGGTTTTAGGGTGTCAGGGTTTAGGGCTTTTTTTACCTAGCAAGGACTAAGCCCGCATTGCGTGGTGTCTCAGTTGAACAGTTGTACTAAGGGTTTAGGGTTTAGGGTTTTAGGGTTCGGGGTTTAGGGTTTTAGGTCTTAGGGTGCCCAGAGACTACCTGGACCCAGGAAAAGCGCGCTGTTTGGCTACACTATTGGAGTCCTTGTTCTGATGTCCCAAACAAATCCGACGGTGTTTTTTTGGGCTGGTTTAAGGGTTCTGGTTTAGGAAGTATGTATGCCTACACTCAGGCATTAGATACTCCAGCAGCGGATATTGAGCCTGACTGCACGAATCACGCAAGAACACGACCTTAAGCATCATCACCTCCCGGACTGATGATACTTTCAGGTTCCCGACCCTAAACCCTAAACCGATGCACTCAGAGTACGCCGATTGGGTCCTTGCCTCATAGAGACGCAGCGCCAGGGACTCGGGTCCATCTGCGCAGTCGGGATTCCAAAGCTTGTGGTTTAGGGCTTAGGGTTTAGGGTTTCGGCGCTTAGGGTTTAGGGGTTTAGGGTTTAGTGTCTTCAGCTGTGCACACAGTTCTTTGCGTTCAGGTCGCGACCCTCAATCCGTCTGCACCACAGCAGATGATGATGAGGCTTCTTCTTCTTCGTGTTCGAGTTTTGGTCTGGTGATCATGACCATGATGAGGCTTCCATGTGGGAGTTTCCGATTATAGGGGACCCTAATACAGTACCCGAAATAGTAGGATCCTTATTATAAGGACCCCCTAATAAGGTACCCCCCAATTTGTGGAAACTCCCATGTCCTGCTGGCTTTAGGTTTGAAGTCAACGGCTGTGCGGTTATTGCCGGCCGGGCCTTGACTTGCGGTGTGGAAGTCATATGGGTGGTTGCGAAAATTATCGTCCCTTCTTGGGTCCTTATTATAATACGGCACCTAATGTTTAGGATACCCCAAAAAGGGACCATCATTTTGACAACCACACATATGTTCGGTTTTAGGGTTATTTTGGTTGTCATGCAGCTCCTCTATCAGCATCACAGCAACCGCATCATCGCAGTCAGAAGCAGGGCAGTCTTCATCAACGGCATCATCGACATGACCAAGGGCAATCTTCAGCAAGCTTATGACCGGTCTTTCGCCAACATGGCCATGAAATACCACTTACTGCTTGCACTGCTCAGTACGACCGCGGCAGCAGCTGCCGCTGCTAACTAGTATGACTACGTCGGCGACGACGACACTACCAACAGCAGAAATGACGACAAGGTCCCTTGCGACAGCGAGCGCGATGCCATCAGGACAGGTGACGAAGATAGCACAATCCAGGACGACAGCGACCCGGCGAGCGCCCTCGACGACTGCGAGGACAGTGATGACCACAGCCGACCGGCACGCGCGACCACACCGCGAGGGCAGCTACGGTTTACAGAGCACAAAACAATGTTCCGCGACCTAAATCCTCGAACCCCCCGACAGATGTCGAAATACTTGAACCCACCTGCAAAGCTTGAAAGCTGGAACCCTAAACTCCATAGCCATAGGGGTTTCGGGTTTCAGCTTGTAGAGATACACCCGAACCATCCGCAAGAAACACAACGACAAAAACAAAACAAACTCAAATTGCAAACTTTACCTACCCCTAAGCCGAAACCATGAACACCCTGAACCCTAAACCCTTCCCCCTAAAACCTAAACTCATCAAAACCGATCGCCTGGACGGAGTGTCTGGGCAAAGGCGAGGAGGAAGGGCAGCGCCAAACCACATCGGGCCTTTGAGCTACAACCCACAGACTCCAATATGCCTTGACTTAATTTGGGATTATTCCTTAAGTTATGATTTAATGTATATTCCTGAGTTAATTGAGATTCGAGTCTCTGGGAGCCCCGTGCTCTTCATGAGGGAATACCCCAAGGCCCAATACCCCTTCAGCAGAGACTGTTGCTTAAAATCATAATAGGAGGCGTTCCTTGCTTGAGGGGTATTGAGCTCTCTGGGTACTGGGCTTGAAGTTTTGCAAATCAACTTGTGTAGCTTAAGGCCTATTTTTGAATTGCAGGGTATTGGGCTTTCTGGGCGAAGCTTCCGTAGGGTTCCTTTTAAGGCTTTACAAGGGCGGGCTAGACAAGAGTAGCGGCCTTGATGAAAGGAGCAGGTTTCGGTTGCATGGTCTCGTCGAAAAAGATGGAGCAGAAAGGAATAATGATTCGAAACACACCCCAAAACCATAAACCCTAAAATCAGCCCGAACCCAACATACCCTGAAACCTACCTAAACCGCTAAAAACGCCGATAATTTGGCCCCAAGTTGCCAGCAATCAGACCCTAAACCCTAAACCCCGTAGAGCAAGCCCAGGCACCACCCATACATTTGGCAGCACGAAGCCGGCAGCAGAGGCTGCCAAGCCTAGGGATCGACTGGGTTCTGCAAAGATTGTAGTATACATTTGGAGGTTCATGTGCAGTTATTATAAGTGGGGTTACAAGTGCCTCACTATGGGTTTTAAGTATAGTTACCCTACTTATGACTCCACTTATAACTACCCATGTACCTCCAATTAGAGGTCGAGAGTCTCTGGTTTAAAGTTTAGGGGCTTTCTGGCTTATAGTTATGTGGGTTATAGCAAAGAGGTCTATGCTTATAGGGTCTTGAACTCTGGCTTATAGTCAATAAGGGTTGGAGTAGAGTGGTCTATGATTTAGGGTCTAGGGGTTTCGGGTTTACAGTTAGAGTGGGTTGTGCGGTCTACGAGAGATCTAAATATGTAGAGACGACAAGTGGATACTTTTGCTACTTGTTCTGACCAGCGTGCGTTATTTGTCAGAAGCAATTAGTTCTGGTCAACGGTTCGTTTCCGGAATTTTGGGCCTTGGATTTGGGATTCTGGCTTCCGAAACTCGGATACAGAGCTTTGGGGTTCGGGTGCTGCCTTGAGTTCTGGGATTTGGGATTTGGGGTTCAGGTTTACGGCCCAGGGCCTCCTGGATCGTAGGCTTAGGTTTAGGGTTTATAGGGTTTAGAGTTTAGGTTTGGATCGCGGATGATTGTTCCATGGTTTTTGCCCTTCCGACCAAGCGGTCTAGAACTAGTGCTGTAAATCCGTCCGTTCACGACTGTTCACCTCGCCCCCTAAACCCTAAGCCGTACGAGCCGTGAAGCTGGTGTTCTACTTGCAGCCTACAAACCCTGAATCTCAAGCTCTACCTTAACCCCAATATTTTGCCTTTTTGAGGACTTGTATAAGGAAATCATAATCGAGAACCTTAAAACGAAGTTTTTATAGGGTCCAGGTAAATCCTCAGAACCTGTAAGCCGAAATCTCGAGACCCCAAGCCCAAACCGATACAAGTAAAATTAGGATGTCCTTAAGGGGGGGTGGTCCAAGGGGGGTAGGTAACCTAGTAATCCCCATTATTCCCCAATACTCCCTAAGCTTCCCTAAGGTTCCCCAAAGCTCCCTAGTACCCTCCCCCCTTGAACCACCCCACCTTAAGGATCCTATACGAATCCCGAGGCCCCGAAGCTGCAGAATTCTGGAAACCTGGACCCCAGAGCTCTAAACCACACTAGACCCAAGAGTATCCTAGGAATAAAAAGGGTGCCCTTTTTGGTTTAAAGGGGCTTACAAAGGAACCCGAACCCTCAAAAAAGGGAATAAGGGCCTACTCCAGGTCCTAGCACATACTTTTTGCATAGGCGCCTTGAGAATGAATAGAGTATGGGCACTGAAGGGTGTTGAGGGCCCTCTTTCAGGGTTTCCAGCAGGGTGTGGTAGCTGTGGTAATGGGGCCTTATCATGGTCTTTGGAGTATACAATACCATAATTGCATTACGAACTCATCTGCATTAGGCATAGTGTTCCAAACTCTTCCCTAAACTTCTAGACACCAAACCCTGTATTCAGGCTGCTATAGTAACGGCAAGTCCAGTGGCAAACGAAGCAGAAGCTGTGCAGATCGTTCGCCTCTCGAACTTTGGCTTGGGATTTCTTGCGGATTTTGGGACCATGGTTTAAGGTTCAGTTTAGAGGTTGAAGGGTTTATGGCAAATTTTATGGGTTTACGGATTTTGGGACTTGGAGTTTCGACTCAAGTCTGGGTAAGAATGGCCCAAGCTGACGACAAGTACACGGGAGGCAGAACACTCCATCCACCCAGCTACCACACCCAAGACCAACCAACCCACAAGTGACCCTAACACTCACGCCCCTCAAAGAACCCAAATAAAATCTAAACCCTAAGCCATGGGGCCCTAGTAAAGTAAAGCCCTGTGAAGGTGCCACCCTAAACATCCCGCCGCCTCCCAAGCACAAAAAACAGATCGCTGGAGCAGCGGCCGTCTTTTGCGGACACCTCACATCACGTAAATCGTCAGTGGCCAGCGCCTCAGGCGCTCTTCAATTTTGCTGCAAAACACGGCTGACACGACTCTTGAGACACGTTGTATGCCAGTAGCCTCTCTTTGAAGAGCTGCTTTGCTCCGTTGTACAGCATTCGGTCGACCGGGTCATCGTAGCCTTCGAGCACAGAGGTGTCGTAGTCGTGGCTCTTTGAATCTCCGGGAAATGTGGGCCGGACATCCGTGAAGTCCGAGGAGAGGCAATCGCCTCCGAACATACCTGGTCCATGGTTGGGATACCCTAAGGCCCCAAAGTAGTTCCTTTTTGGGTTCATATGTAGAATCCTATTAGGTATTCTTAAACAGGAACTACTTTGGGGCCTCTGGGTAGTAGGTAAAATGATCATGTCTACTGTCTACTCCCTCTTGGGCTTAAGTACCCACAAAAATGCAAAATGCTACCCAGCTATGACAAAGATACGGTGGAGGAGGCAGATGGAGAGGTCCCATTCCTCCACGAGCCCGACAAAGGCGAAGCCTTCACGAAGTCTAGTCACCTTGGCTGACTTCTGAACCACTCCTGAAAGCTAAACTTTTAGCCTCCCTTTTATAGCTCATATAGAAACCCAAAAAAGTTGAAGTCCTAAGAGCCGACCAGAAGAACGCCAAGTCACTGCTTCTTCTGCGTCCGTTTCCTTCATATCCTTAGAGGCTGAGTACGCTAGCCCCACTGGTAGGGTTATATGAACCCCAAAAAGATAAAGGTTATACTTATATTTATAATTATGGTAGGTTATATGAACCCCAGATAGGTTAAAGGTTACCTACTCTGCTACTAAGAATCTCCGCAGGATGCTGGAGGTGGATCAAAATCTCCATCTACCATGATCTGACATGTCATGGCATGCGCCTCTGATCGTGCGTAGCTAACGATGTCTTGGTCCTCCGCCCCATGTGGCCAATTTGGGTCGGTGTAAGCAGAAAAGATGCGCTGGATCGGATCGCGCAGCATTGTCACAAGGTGACCTTTGAGGAACTCATACTGGTGTCCCACGCCCACGTGCGCATACTTCGGCATTCCCTGCAAATCGGTGTTGCACAAGAACTTCCTTCCATCGCAGACATGAGGGCAAAGACCCTCGAAGTTGATCTCGAACAAGTCACCCAATACTTCTGTGTTCACTTGGAAAGAGTCGTCTACTCCTGGGCACACATCAGGGAGGTGGATCAATACATTCAGGAAAGACGTCCCACACTTCGACGTATGCATCCACTTCAAGGGCTGGGCAGCTAGCAGTGCTGACGTCGCTGGGGCTCCTGTCGCTTTTCGATTTCCGGATCCCCTACCGAAGCTACGAAGGTCGCTTCCAGAGGCCAGGAGTTTCCGGCCCGCAGATTGCGATCGCGCGCTTTCTTCCTGCAAAGACACCAGCTGCTTCGCACCCTTCTTGAACCTTGGCGGACTTCTGAACCCCTCCTAGACATTAAATTTTTAGCCTCCATACTACCCTTCATACAGAAACCCAAAGAAGGCAAAGTCCTAAGAGCCAACCAGAAGAACGCCAAGGAACATGGCATCTGCCAGGAAGAGGATGCTAAAGAAAATGAAGGCCCTGCGGGCTGCCGCCATGGGTTCTCGACGATTTTCCCAGGCAGGCGGATGAAACGAAACTGGGGGGGTTCAGTCCCGGAAGCTCATCAGGCACAGGAGCCAAGAGTGCTGGGCTTTTCGGAATTCTGTGGGCTTGGGGAGTTTTGGGACTTACCCTAGGGCCCTGAGGACTTATAAATTAAGGCTTTGGTGCTCAAAGATCATACTACATAAGGCTTTTGGGCTCTTCTGATCCCTACTAGGGTTAGAGGGTTTGGGGATCGGAGTGTGGCTTTGTTTATGTGCGAAGGACCTGAACGTTCAACCTTAAACCTGCAACCTCGGGCAGTGCACCATGAGTCTTGGAGGGTGAACCCCTAGAAACCCTGAACCCCAAGCCCACAAAAAAACCCAGAGGTCCTCAACCCTCAACAACAAAAACCCCAAACCACAAAAAAACCGAAACTCCTCAACCCTCAACGCCACAACCCCAAACCACAAACACCTCTAAACTCCTCAACCCTCAACCCCAAAAACCCAAACCCTACCCTAAACCCTTAACTCCTCAGCCCTCAAACAGAAACCCCAAACACCCAAACCCTCACCTCCTCAACGCTCAACCACCAAAAAAACCCAACAGTCCAAACCCTTAACTCCTCAACCCTCAACCCCCCAACACCCAAAACCACAAAAGCCTCTAAAATCCTCAAGCCTCGAACCCCTCAACCCCAAATACCCCAACCCTTAACCCCTCAACCCTAAACCCCAAAACCCAAACCCTAAACTCCTCAACCCTCAACCTCAAAACCCAGACCCTACACTCCTCAACCCCTCAACCACAAAACCCTAAAACCCCTCAAATCCTTAACCCTCCCCCCAAAAAATAACAATAACACCCAAACCCCGGACCCTTGCATGACGGAACCCCCCAAACCCCCAACACCCTAGACCCTACCTTAAGCCGAAATAACCTACCGTTTTAGGGTTCCGTATTATGATTTCCTTACATAAGTCCTTAAAAAGGTAGGTTATTCCGACCCTAGATCCTCTTTCCCAAAGGCTCCATGTAGCATTATAGTAGGTACTTAAGCCTTAAAAGGGTCCCTGTGTAGGTGTTTCAATAACCCTAAACCCTAAACCCTAAACAATTTAAGGCCTAAGTATATACTATAAGGGTACATGGAGCCTTAGGGCCTTAGGGTTTGAGCTGGTGTCGAGCCTTGCCCTCCGAACTTCGACACTTCTACTTGGAGGGTCCTTTATATAAGCCCTTTGGAAATTATTTACTATTATGGTTCTCTACAAAATAGTAGGAGACATCAAAAAAGACCTCAAAGGACAACCCAGATAGTTATAAGTAGGGTTAGAAGGGGCTCAGGGTTCCTTCAAAGGGATCTATAGGATTCAGGGATTAGAGGTTAGGGTAGTTGCAAGTGTTAAAAGGAGGGTAGCTATACTTTCTACCCCATATTAGGGCGCTTATAACCCCATTTATAACTACCCATGACTCTCCAGGTAGATTCAGGAATAATGAAGGGCTAGGTTTAGGGTGTAGGGGTTTAGTATTTAGGAGTTGAGGGTTCAGGGCTTTAGGGTTTAGGAGTTTAGGGTATAAGAATTTAGGGTTTAGGGTTGGTTTAAGACTAATGGCCGTTTACAGGTGCTGGGCCATCATGTCACCTCCTTTTGGGGGTCCAGGCATGGCTTAATTCTTTTTGGATTTAGGGTTGTGGGGCCTGAATAATTTCAATAGGGTTCCCTAAAGGGCTCTTTTCAATGCCTTAACATTTAGAATAGAGGTTATTTAGGGGATACCATGCCTGATTCTCTAACCTCTATGACTCTACGCTATCCCTGAAGCCCTCAAACAGACCGAGGACACTCGAACACGGGCCCATACAAAATTCAGGCATAGAGAACTCTACAGCAGCCTGATATATGCGCTTAAAGAAGCCCTGCACCTAGAGGTCCTGCAGTCAGTAATCCGTCTTGAAACACCCAAAACTTTTTTGAATCCTACACGCAATAGGCCATTCATGTATTGAGGCATTCCCTCAGACATCTCTGCAAAAGCACCAAATGCCCAAACTCAAAAGTCCAAGCACCTTAAAACCCTCAACAACGAACGCAAAACCGGAATACTCCCCTGTACAACCGCGCAAAGCCTGCAACCACCTTAACACGATGTGTGCAAAACCCCGAACCATCACAAACTGAAACCACCCAAACCCCGAAACCCTTCAGGAAGGCCCTCAAAAATTGTAGAGACCCACGGCATCGTACTGAAACCCGCAACTTGCATCCCAAAAACGACCTTCAAAGCTTATCGAACGCAACCCCTTGACCCCAACCCCCAGCGCCTTGCGAACCCTGGCCAGTCGGCCACGCCCGTGCTCAAAATTCCTTTTTAGAAAAGACACTGCTTCTTTAGAGAACTATGTCAAGAGCCAATGATAACAAAAGGAACGAGCCCTAAAAGTTTCAGCTGTTTAGGCTTCAGGCATAGCCGCTATAGCTCCTCCCCCACCCCCCCATGCCCTAAACCAGACTTTCAACCCTTAAGGCTCAAAACCTCCCAAATCCTAAACCCTAAACCTCCGCATGCCCTCGCCGCGCGCGCCTGGCGCTGGACATATGGCTGGAATGACGCCAGCGTGGTGGCCGTGACCAGAGCGACACCTTCATGAAACGTGCTTGGGTTTCGAGTTTAGGGTTTAGGGAGGCTCGAGGATAACTTCTAGAAGCCCCTCACTTGAGGATCCCATAGTTTTGAAGGTTTAGGGCTTTGGGTTTGAGGCTTTAACAGTGTAGGGTTGTCGTAAATCAGGACTCAACTTCCGAGTTATACCCAGAGAATATGTATAACAAATTTCTTTGAATCCTCGGCCCTATAGACCTGAAACCCCTAAACCCTAAATCTAAACGGGAACATCATACCACGGCTCTGTAGAGGTGAAGGACCAGTCTTTTCCGGGTTTGGGTCTACCTGGGTAGGCTTCAGGGCTTTAAGTTCGGGTGGTCACAATGGTGGCCTGCACAAAGTGTGGGGGCATCATCGCTGTCGATCACCTCAGTTGCCAGCATAGGATGGACTTCGGAATCGATTTCGGATTGGGGGCTCCGGCTTCAACGGCCTCCATGGAGGCTCGAGTTGGGTGTACTGTTTGTCTAGGCGTACAGCGAGATCACAGCTGATGACGATTCAAATCATCTTCATGAACGGAAGGCACGTCTGAAGTACGTGCTGTTGAAGGCGATCGAACTGAACCCTCCTGTGCCGAGAACACTGCAGAATTTTCGCACGATGCCGTGTCAACGGGCCCGCTAACGAACTAACAAATACATGTACCAAGCCTTCGCCTTCTACCCCGAACTCCAGATCTTAAGCCCCAAAGCTATGCCACCCAAAACTAAAGCCTAAATCATCAAACAGCCACTCAGCACCCACACTTCGAGCCATTCAGCACCCTATACGGATGTACGCTTTAAGAAGTCTAGACCTTAGACTACCATCATAACCTACTCTTTGTAGGTTCGTAATCTGAGCACTAATCTAAAATTTTCTGCGATCCCACACAGAAAAAATCGGTTTTGGCAGGCTAGGGTAGACCTCTGTAGGCTTTTGGGCCTCAGGGTCTAGGACTTTCAACCGTGTCCTCGAGTCTGCTAGGTTATCCACGTAGGACATACAGAGAGAGCCCAATAATTACCGTTAACTAAGGAAAATGCGGAACCCCTAACGATTTGATTCACATTCCTTAATTAGGGGGCACTGGGCTCTCTGGGTAACAATGCATGTTAAACCACCAAACCTGCCTTGTGTCGGGTGCCCGTAACTTATATGTTGCGGTTCGATAAAAGGTTGTTGTCGGTCATGGTGGTTTAAGATAGACCGCTGATTAGTTAGCCCGTCTCCCTCATACAGGGTCCAGTAGAAATCCTGGTATAAGATGGGGGACCCTAGTACAAGATAGAAAGAGGGCCTGTCAAGACAGTGCGTCATCCGGGGCCTACATAAGTCGAAAGCAGGGTTTCTGCCCCAACATCCACACCGGGTAGAGCCCTAAACCCTATAAGCCCTAAACCCTAACCCTCTGGAACCGCCAAGACCGAATAGCTCTGTAAGCCCTAAACTCTAGAAACGCTAAGCCCCCCTCAAACCTAAACCCGAAACCCTCATACCCTATACCTTGATACCTCCAAGAGATCCCTTAAAGGAGCCCTAACCCCCCCCCCCCCCTTGAGATGTAACCTGGACGTGTATCCCCTCGCTAGGCGTACAGGAACACAGGCACTCAGGTGTCTCTTTTGCTACAGGCGCACAGCTGTAGTCCACTGCACTAGAACCTTGAGCAACAGGCATGGATACATGCAAGTGATACGTGAAACAGACAGGCACCTGGATGTGTAACATTCAGTGTTTCAACCAGGCACAAATTTAAAACACGTAGAGCTGCATGGCCGTGGAGTCGGCATTCAACTAGCCTGTTATTGCTCTCGGTCGAATTAGCGGAGTATTGAGCTACATCTGCGACTTGAAGAGAATCTATACATCTCTCACCTGAAGACAGCTTCAATGAAAAGAGCAGAACACGCACGAAAACGCAAACGGATCTTCAACTGAAAACTTTTGCTTGAAAGTTGCCCACTTGTGTTCAGTTTCCTCTCCAGGCGGAAAGCTTACTGTCACATAAAAGATTGTAGAGCTTAGCTCCACTTGATGCCAGCATGACATCTTGCGACACGGCAAATATATAAGGGCATGAGAAGTATCTTATCCTGAGATAAGTATCTTCTTTCTGACAAGGTCTTTAAGGAAGTACCTCTTCATGAGAAAAGCATCTTCCTATGAAATGGCGAATGCTCAAACTGGATACCTTCTTATGAAAGAAGCATTCCGTGAAACACTCACTCCACTTCTTCCATCGGACCTTGGTTCATCACCCTCTGGTTGTACTGCTCCACCCTACGACGAGTACGAGGACTGTCATCAGGATGAGGCAAATGGTGGTGAGGGTAGTACCATCTCTCCAAATGCC